TGTTGGAAATGTATGTGTTTACAAGGTCTGATTCAGTCATTATAGGGTTAACTTGTATTCCTAGTTTGCTATTGTTTAGACTGACCTGGAAGGGATACCTGGCACTAAGCCAATGGGGAATTAGCCCGGGAAAAGTAGCTTCTACTATGACACAGATTGGTCATTTGTTTCAGGTGACTTCCTTTCTAGGGTCAAGAAGAAGGAGAGAATCTCCATTACGTGTGTGCTTGTTTTGTCTGTAGGCAGCATAGAAATGTAGCTCTTAGTGTTATGTTAATTTGTAGTAATCCCGTGAACCCTTTACCCTTAGAATAAAGTATTTTTAAAAGCAAAGAAATCTCTTTTTTCCAAATAGAGCAAGATCCATCTAATAGTCTAAGTATTAAACAATTTTTGACTATTTTACAACAGTAAGAAACAAGACTGAAGGGGAACGGTAATTAGAACTCCAGGGTGATACTCAACTCCTTCTCTTCCATCTCCTTGGTCTTTTGGTACATTTCCTGGAGAAAGTTGCACTCCCGGGATTAACAGTGCAATCCTCAAGAGAGTTACATGCTTCCAAGTGCATTGTAGTCAGGGGACTTTAAAGGGTGTAACTTTGCAAATACTGAACTCTTAGAAGCTATTTAAGAGAAGAAGGAGAGAGAGCGATTGGATCTATACCCCGCCCTTCACTACCCGAAGGAGTCTCAGAGCGATTTACAACCTCCTTTCCCTTCCACACAACAGACACCCTGTGAGGGAGGTGGGGCCGAGAGAGCTCTTTCAAGAACAGCTCTTGTGAGAAAACAGCTCTGAGAGAACTTGTGACTGACCCAAGGTCATACCAGCGGCTGCATGCAGAGGAGTGGGGAATCAAACCTGGTTCTCCCAGGTTAGAGTCCACGCTCTGAACCATGACACCAAACTGGCTTAAGCTTAAAGAGGCACCACAGAAGCCTAGACTATGGGGTACAGCAAATAGAGTATAGTAAATACAAAATAAATTGCTGAAAAAGTTCACAAAAATATAAAGATGTAATACATTTCAAATATCAAAGATGTAATTTAATATTTGTTTTCCAGCAGGTGCTAGCAGGTATACAGCACAGGAACAAGGACGAACACTTCTCGAGTCTATCTGCGTTCGTTTCGAGTGATCTTTCTCAATCTCCTATCAACAATAACAAATACAATATAATAGGAAACAAGAAACTCCAAAAAGTCTCACAAATGACTTAAATACAACTTAATAAAATTGTGAAATAATACATACAGTCTTCAATATTCAATGAGTCAGAGACAGGTGTTCTGGATTTTCCGGAACTGAATTTTAAGAAAACACTCACCCATTTTTCATCTTGTGCCACGAAGTCCGTCATTTACCTAATTACATGTGCTTGTGCGCACAGGTATGTCGGGCAAACTTCAAGAGCATTGAGAACTAGGATCCTGGAACACAGATCGAAATTGAAGCATAAATGTATAACGGCTCCTATGGTCCAGCATTTTGATATAGCGGGCCACGGACCCAATGACTTTAAATGTGTAGTCTTGGAAGTGGTGAAACCCAAACCTTATACACACAGTGACATGCAGAGAATATTACTGCAAAGAGAGGCTTTCTGGACTTTTGTATTAAAAACAGAATATCCCACTGGTCTCAATGCTGCCCTTGATTTATCATGTTTTTTAGGAGAATGAATCTACACCCTCCTATATCCCTGCCTGTTATTATGTTCCTTAAACCCTTCATGAGATTCTCTATTCTTAATATACTTTGTTCTATACTCTTCCACATATTTACCCTCTTTGTAAATAGCTGGTTGCCAACTTATGATATACTTACCTTTTCTTCTGGTCAGTTGGCTGCCCAAACCGGATATGCACTTTGTATTTAAAGAGGAAGCTTCCAATTAACTAGCAAGACTGACTTGTCCATGTAAAAGAATCAGTGTGTAGGAGCCAACTTATGACATACTTACTTTCTCTTCTGGTCAGTTGGCTGCCCAAACCGGATATGCACTTTGTATTTATAGAGGAAGCTTCCAATTAACTAGTAAGACTGACTTGTCCATGTAGAAGAATCAGTGTGTAGGAGCTGTGTGAGC